CACAGTGAAACAAGCAAACTGAAACAAGTATTTTCTTGAACCGGGCAGATCTACTGACGATGAGATCCAGTCTGAAGTGACGGAGACTGCGGATGCCTTGACTCTGTCGTTCTATATATATAGGCTGCCTTTCAATGTTTCTTAAGCTTAACAAACACATTGTATTCAACCAGAATTTCTCCCATTTGTCTGCAGCGGTAAAATCCTCAAGGAGCCGTGGACTGGTACCCAATTTGTACAAAACGCAGTTTAAAACAATGTAAAAATCACACTCATCAACAGGCATACGCGCGCGCCGGATCGTCGCCCCGCGTAGAGAGACTCTTTAATTGCGTTGTTTCAATGGTCCCCTCTGAATGGGAGAGAAACTGGAGGCTGCAGTTTACGACACACATCTGCAGGTGTTGCATTTCAAACCGAGAAACTCAAGCTGTGAGAAGACACACGTGCACGAACGCAGGCAAACAGACAGAGGAGAAGACACACCGAGTGTCTCTCGCTGCAGGTGCAGCACTGTTCATCAATCCCCTCCGCGGCTTCCGCCCTGATAAAGGCTGGCACATCTGGGCAAGGTGAAATTGCAAATCTCTCAACATCTGTGTCTGTTTCTATCAAAATGTTGGCTTCAACCTGAGGGAAGGCTAAACAGGCCCGGTACACATCGAGCACGGGCGTGTCAAATCGGCAGAATGTGCTCATCGGTGGGGCTCCTTCAACGTGGCTGGTGCTTCCAATGGGCCTTTGGTCTGCCCGTCATAAATACCAACCACTAATGTGGCTCAGGGTCACGTAGGTTTTAGATCACCTTTGCACACACATAAACCGGTACAATTTGTGGGAAAAAAAAGAGAGAAAAAACCTCTTTGCTGCCACAAAGGCACTTCTGCACAGCGTCTCCCCCATAGACGCCTTGGAAAATAGCATCATTCAGAACCGTTTTCACCCGTTTAATGTGAAGAGAGCAGTGTCACTATGAGAATCAAATCTGTTTGTTATAGCTGCGAGTCGAGGAGTTCGGAGGATCCCGCGTAGCGCGTCTCTAATTCACTGAAAGAAAGAGCAATCAGCAGAGCTTCAGATGGCATCCGACAGGCGACCGATCCAATCTCCTTTCTTTGAGGCGCCGCATTGTGATGTTCCCACACGCGGCCGCGCAATGCCGCATTGCACACATTTCTGATAATCTATGCAAATAGGCCACAGATGGACGGGCATGTATCTAATTGAGAAACATATGTGTTGCGCGTTTAAAATAATAATAATAATAATTCTCGCCTCTCCCTTTCCCGTTATCCTTGGTTGATTCACCGAGGGTTACGTGAGAGCGGGACGCTGGCATCCTGCCACGACCATTTGTGGAATTATTCAAATGAGGACACCGTGTTTCTTTTGTTTACCGCCTTGAATGGCGACGTGCAAACAAGGTTGAAGCATTTATGAACGCCATTTCTCACCCTCACTCGACTCAACTGCCAGCTCGCGCTCTCTCGCTCCGCGCGTGTGAATTGCTGCCGCGGCATTGGAGGAACGTCCCCGGCATCACGAGCAGCCGTTAATGAGTGCGTGGCGTGGCGTGTTGTGATGCGCGGCATATTACAGCCATTCATCAGGGCCGTGGAGACACTTGACAGGCGGACAGCCAACAGGTTGTGCAATCACATATAACACAGCCGTGTCAGGCCTGCCGCGGCTCCGTGTCGCATTCGGGCCTCTAATGTTGTTTTCCTCTGGGTAATTGACGACGGCAGACAGAGAGCCCCACTGATGGATAACATCATGGACTAAACGGCGCAAAAAAAAAAAAAAGAGGTGGCGTCCTTCAGGAGTGATGTCATTTCGGATTACGTCATGGTTTGGAGGTATTGGCAGGAGAATTGTGTTTTTTTGTGTGTGGTTTGATAACTGTACTTCCTATGTGGTTTCTGAGATTTGGGTACGTGACGAAATCCATTAAACTAAGGAAGGGAAAACAACATATTGGTGGGTGAAATGTCACCTATTTACCTTTGCTTTTTGTCCTAAGCAAGTTTGGTGAGCCTGAGGGTTTGACTACAACCTGCATGAACACCTAAATCTCAGAAGTACAGTGAAACGGTCAGTGATCGCAACTAATCAGGATTGCAATCAGTCCCCCCCCCAAAAAACTGTTCTATAAAACTGGAATTTACCTTCACACCAAGTGAAGAAGCAACGCTGGTCAGGCTCTATTTTGGATGCGCAAATCCACAGAGGTATAACACCTAATAGGTGTAAGGAGCCACACTTGTCATTTAAATATATCAAAGAAAAATCATTTCAGACATTGATCTGAAGTAACTGCATTGCTTACGCCTAAACATGTCCAAATAACAGTGTTACCGTGGTAATTATAGTGTACCAGGAATGCCATCCGACGCAGAGGAACGTGTTGCAAATAGTCGGACTCCTCTCAACAGCACAACTCTCGGCTGCGTCGGGGAAGCAGAGGTGGCCCTGAGGCGACGCTGTTAAGGACAGCGAGTATCCTCACACAACCTGTCCTGCTCGGTCCCTGAGCTGGAGACGTTTCCTCCCAGCCTCCCATCCTCACCACCTTATCTACTCTGCCTCTTGCAGCACACTATCCAAAAATAAAAGACCAGCCTGTGAAAGTGAGAAGGAAAAAAAAAAAAAGAAAGCGCACTCCTGTCTTTTGAATATCATCAGAACTTCAGGACTCTGCTTGATTACCGACTTATTGTCTTCTTTTTCTCTTTATGGAGAAACACTCCTGCTGCGCAGCGCCCTTCTAACCGCTCACACAAACCCATTTTACCTTAGAAAAACTGGGGAGAAACAAACCAAAAAGGGAAGAACACAAAATGGAGGGAAGGAGACAGCCAGGACGAAAAATGAAGCCTGGGAATGGGATGCTAATTCCTTTGGAATGAGTTAATCCCTCAGGGGTTTGACATCCTTTGCTTTATCTTGGAATGCCATGAGGCAAGAGGCGCAGACAACACACCAAAAAAGCCCAATACTTAAGACTGCATCGACTACGTCAGCGATCTGCAAAGGGCTCTTGTTTTCTCATACGCAACGAGGTGCGACAACACGGCGCCCGTATCAAATGACCTGCGTAATGTGCAAGAAGTGACCAGGGAGTGGGTCTGATACCTTCTTTGTTTTTAACCGTCCGCCTGATATCAGGCAACATTGTCTCTGACCGACGTCTTTTAAAGAAGTTCGGTTTGTGGACGTAGGATTTAGTGTAACTGACACGCAACAACCCAGCAGTACAAACATGTATTGTACGTGATCAGCTCCTATAACACTTGTGTTCCACTCAGTGTGTTTACGTTCATTTACTTTACTTACTACAATCCTGAAAGCATACATTTGCCTTGGTGCACGTCAACGACTGCACAGCTACTTGCACACAATAACTAAGCCGTATCCTTTTAATGCAAAACCATAAAGTTTCACCTTCAGTGTGGATGCGACACACTAAAGGAATCCACCCCAGCCATGACGCGCGCGCGCGCACACACACACACACACACACACACACACACACACACACACACACACACACACACACACACACACACACACACACACACACACACGCTTCCTTTCTCCTACATCTTCACTCTCTCGCCCCACAACAGCCACAGTGTTCAGTGTCAACAGTGGTCACACTATGCGGTGCAAACATAAAAACATGCATCCAATTAAAGCTGCAGGGGAAAATACTTCTCTGTAAACGGCAACAGTCTGAAGCATGTTTGCAGCGATGACGGGCGTTCTAAACAAATTAAGCCAGAGGAGCACTAGATTTCTCATCCTGGCGGGCTGTCTGGCCAAATTCAACCTCAATTGCTCGGTTGTTTGATCAACTGTTGGTGCGCTGTGTGTGTGTGTGTGTGTTAATGCAAGGCAAGGAGGAAAAAGAAGAAAAAAAAACAGACAGACACGAGTGGATGGATTCCAGGCGAGCCGAATGCGCTACGACAGCAGCAGAGAAACGCAGCAAAAACTCTCATTCCAACGCTTTCATGTCTCATTGTGCGCCTCCGTCCTGTCAGCATCTCCTTTTCCTTCGCTTGGCATTACTTGTCACTCTGTCGATGGTCTCGTGTGCGCACATGGAAGTGTGTGCGCGCGCGTGTGTGTGTTAAACCTGTCGCTTTCTGTACGTTTATCGCTTCGTCTGCCATTGCTCAGTGTTCTCACACACACACACACACAGGAAGATTAACCTGTGCTTTATTTATTTGCTGCCTTGATCTGCTCCTATCCACCCTTAAAAAAAAGAAAAAGTCACCCCCTAACCCCCGGTAGCAAATACAGGAGGAAAGTGCAACCTTTCTGGTTCTGTGCCATTAGAGGCGTATACATTTGAACAGCAAGCTCTTATCAAAGTAACCCTAAAATAGCAAACTATATAGTGAACTGTGGTTAATACAGACTTCAGACTGGAGTTAGAAATGTTTAAAGTGGTTACAAAGTCTAGAAATGCACTAAAACTACACTGAAATACACTTTTTGTCTCTAGAAATCTGAAACACATGAATCCTTTTCCTTATTAGCCGGTCCTGCATCTGCTCACTGCAACCCAAAAAAAAACCCTAGTAATTGTTTGAGGTGGAGGAGAGGGGGTGAGAGGGCGGGGGGGGTAAATGGTTCTTGAATCATTGCACCATGGTTTTGTTCTACTCTCAGTGTATTGACACTGGCCACAGGCTGCTCGGCGGGGACCGGCTGGGTTTTTCAGACAGAGCCCAGCGAGATCCTGCACAGCTCCTCATAAACAGCAGCTGCAGACTGCTCGGTTCCCAGTTCCTCCCTGGCTGCCAGTCCAAGAAGGTCCAATCAAAACCAGCCACATTACTCCCCCAGCTCGCCTTTGGCGTGCCAAGTCTGCTCCACGTCGGTGGCGGGGGGGGGGGCAAGAAAAAGCCAGGACCGAACAATAGAGCACACACACACACACTGCATCACCAAGCTGCAGGTCAAAAAAAGAAAAAAAATCAGTTTACCTGTGTGAACTTTGACCGTGGTGGTACTGCCGCTGTGGTGGCCGCCCCCTCCCCCACCCCGGCCTTCATGTATTCCTCACGCTCGGTCCTTTCGCTGACCCCTCCTTATTAAGCGGTGATCTGAGGGGAAGGAAGACAGGAGAAAAAGAGCCAGTTAAATTTAAAATTCATTTTTATGGAATGCCGGTTCAGACAAGAGGACGAATGTATCACCCAGAAAATAGACCCCGATGTCGACAAACGTACGCAGGACGCCGCGAGGGACTTTGCCATACTGCCCCCATTCACTCTGCCTCCTGACCCTGCCGGAGAGGCAATGAACCAACGTACAGCCGCAGCACCGATCACAGTGCCGTGCCTGTATACTGCAGCAGCCCTGACTACCCCCCCCCCCCCCCACACACACACATACCCTCAATCCTCCTCCTGCCCCATGCAAACCCACCCCCCACTGCACAGGAACAATGTCCTTCCTAAAGGTTATCAGCAGCCCGGCGCTTGGTCGGCCCTCATCCCGAGTCCATTACACACACACAGCGGCTGGATTCGCTGCCTTAATACACCTCGCTTAGTCCCTCCTCACTGCTTCGCTGCACCTTTTACAGGCGGATACAAATCCAGCAAAAGGCCCAGAATAACACATGCACAGGTTTTGGGATTAGCCCAACAGCGCATTGCCATTCCGTCACCATGCACATCAATTCAATAGGTGTAAGCCTCCTTATGAAAACAGACCCCTCCGTCCTCGCTTTGCAAGACTTTTTAGCCACGCTAGCAGCATGAGTGGTATCATAAGCTAAACTAACAGCCAATACTTGTAAAGCTACCAGCATTTGCCTTCAATCGCAGTTGCAGATTGTGGTTACTGCTACTTAGAAAATGATGGTTGGTTTAACACGGCAAAAAGGTTTAACTCAGACGGCGGCGCAGGTCAATATTGTCGGTGTGAGCTTGTGTCCGCATGTGGCTGGTAGCATTTAGCTTAAATATTTGCTTGATATTACTCCGGACAGAAAAACATGAGATGAAAATGAATGTGACAAGAGAAAGAGACACTAACAAGTTCAAGTCTTCATCAACAGCATCTCTGTCCGTCCTGAGGGGACAAACCACTGTCTTTTCTCTCCCTCTTGTTTCCACGCTTACTATCTCCACCACTGGTGTAGACAGGCTTCCCCTGCTTCAGGCTGCCCTCCTGGCCGTTTTCCAAGCAGTACAGTATATTACATCTTGGCATTTCTCCCTACAGTTGGGGTAAATTTTGGCCAGTGGGACAAAGCCATTTGCATGCAAATTTGGGGAAGTCGAAGAAATTTGAAACCAGAAAAGCAGGAAGCTATGCCAAATGTGCAAGTGAATTGTTTGAAACAAACCTTTGGGTGGTTTATTTTCTTAAACACAGTGTGGCGCATCATCTCCACAAGACTGAAGTCTGAAATATATCCCATTGATTTTTCAGAACAACACACTGATGGTTCCAACAGGACGGGCGCATGAATGGAACATCTTAACACCTGCTCGTTCACTTAATCCACGAGGAGAGGGGAGCCTGCTGAAGAACATGCTGTGGGAAGAGGGGGTGTGGGAAGGTGGGAGGGGGGGCGATTTTGGACTGAGGCCAAAAAGATGAGGACAAGGCGGAGGAGAAACCCATAAATACGCGGGGAGGCGAGCAGGTGTCGCGGACAAATGTGATTTACAGGGTCCATGTCCTGCACAGTGCAGACAGGTAAGCCTATTAGGTTGATATTACGCAGCTATAACACGCGCCAATGGACCCTCTTTAAAAACGGCTGTGCAGCCGGCGTGTAAAGGTCATGGGTTTAAGAGAAAGATTATAATATCACGTTGTTAATTTGGCCTACATTAAGAAAATTTAATTATATTAAACATTGGATTTCTAATTAGATTTCTTTGCTACAGTACGTATTTTTGACGTATTTGCACTGGACTCTAGTTGCAGACGTTTGAAACGACGATCAGGCCTCAAAGCCAAAGAGTGCGAGAAAGCGCTAAATGCTAAGACGGCAGTGCGTTGGTGCCCCCGGGAGGGGGTTGGGGGGGGGGGGGCATCACTGCAAGAATGCAAACGTTTATGAGGACCTGAAAACGCACCAGGACATCGAGCGGAGACCTCTGCGTCCGTTACAAGTTTCACTTGCAATGCCGCATGAGAGGCACGGGACTATAGGAGGAAGATTTGCCACCACTTGAGCAGCACACTGCAGATGGTGTTGAGAGCAACACGGCACAAAGCAATGTGTTCCTCAATAACATGGTGAATATTGCAGCGAAAAAGCTGAGTGCTTCGCACCAGCTTCTGCAGACTCCAGACTTTTTTTTTTTCTTCTCCTCTCCCTCTCTCTGTCAGAAGTGTGAACTCTTTCATCCCGGATATAAGAGGCTGCGGTGAAATCCTCAAAGAAACTAATCGTGTTAAATGAGGTTCGTGTCTGTATCCGTGACTTGTGTGTGTGTGTGTGTGTGTGTGTGTCAGGAGGGAGACTTAAAACTCACGTCACCTTTGAATCTAAACTGTCCTCAACTCTCCACTAGAGCCACTTGTCTCCAGTTTCCCGACCGTGCCAGGTATTACTCTCTTACCCCTTCAATCCCCGTGATCGTATCTGATGATGTGGCTGTTCATCGACTGAGATAAACCAATTCTCCCGCACAAAGCCTTTAAAGTGATTCGAACGCGACAAAGCGCAAGTTCTCCCGTTGAAAAGCCCCTTAACACCACGACGTTTACTTTAGCTTCCTTGAGGGGGGGGTGGGGGGGGGGGCTTCGTCCTACAGACGCTCAACTCCTACAGACGCTCATTCACACGAGCGCACCCCAACCCCTACACACACACACACACACACACACACACACACACACACACACACACATCATCATCCAAGGCAGAGGAAGCAGAGGAGCTATAAAAGCCAACCTCGCCTCCTTCAAACCGGCAGGGCCGTCCCTGGGCGTCTTAACACAACTCATCAACTGATAAAGCAGAGAGAGACAGGCAGAGCAGTAAAAACATGGCAAACAACAGTCATTGATGTGAGGTGGAAGTGGAGAGTGCGGGACTTTGCAGGAGACGAAGAAGGTCCACGTCATGCTAAAAAGTGGCCTGGTTCTATTGATTACCTATTGCAAATAGGAGAGGCAATTTAAAGCAGCATAGTCTGGGGAAATCGGCCGGTGCCGTGAGCGAGAGAAGCCATTTCCCTCCAGCCGAGATAAAACACTTTACTGTGAGCTGTCAGATGCTTATCAGGAGGAAATTAGCCATTTTCCCCCAAACAAACAGGTCAAGTGTCCCCCTCCTTTATCCCCGCTCTGATATCATCACCTGTTATTTCCTCCAGTTAAAATGACAACGCCGAGGAGACAGGCCGCGTTTCATTAAAGAGATCATTTGCAATCAATTTTTTTTTTTAAACGCATTGCCGGCAGTAGCAGGTTGTTCTTTTGAGACAGAAGACGACGAAGACGAGGTCTCCGCTTGGCCCTCAGGCTCTCGTACCGCACGCACGCACACTGACGCAAGTCCGGGCCGAAATCTCCAACACAGATCTCACCAAAACAATATTTTGAAGTGCGGTGGGGGGGGGGGTGAAAAAGAAAAGAAAAATTCCAAAAAGAAAGAAAAGGGGCCCAGGGAACAGAACACAACCCACACACAAGGCCGCCCTGCCGGAGAGAGGAGAGGGCGGCTCGGCGTCAGCGTCAACATCAACACCGGCGCTGCAGTCATCGCTCAGCAGGTAATTACGATAACAACGTGTTCCCTAGGCAGCTTCCCTCTGATTCAGTTTCCAAGCACTTACCCTTCCTAAAAATCTCCTCCCGATAACATCTGATATGATTACAAAGTCAAGATCCTTTTCAAGGAGCGCCCACTTATGCGCCTGTAATTTGTGTATAGTAAATCTCCCTCTTGTGACTGCGCGCCGATGCTTCTCGTCTCCGTGTGTGCGCGCGCGCTCGGGCTGACACGTTGGCGCGGTTTTGGGAATTTCATCATTTTTTGGAGGGGGGGGGGGGGGCGTGACATAAATGAACCTCACCTAGCGGCGCCATCTGCTATCGAGCGCTCCGCTGGCTGCCATTACTCTCGATTGTAAACACAGCCTCGCCACATGGGGAAATGCATCATTTCATTGTGTGTGCCGTCATTTAGCGGTGGAAGTTTGGCCCCTGAATGGAGCCGGCGCAGTTGACCCCGCCATTACCTCTTGCGTTGTGGCCTTTTCCTCCGCTGTCATCACAGCCTTTAAAATAAAATAAATAAAATAAAAAACAGCAACAAGGCTGTCGAGATAATCCCGGAGATGTCTCCGTGTTTTGCCAGATTACATCTTCAAAAAGGGGGAGAAAGAAAAAAAACGCGGCCCGGCAGCCTCTACTTGAAAGGGATGCGGAGGGCTCTTGTTCTGAAGGAGGAGGGTGGAATAGCTGAAGAATGCAATCACGGTTTTGTGAGTGGGGGAAGGCTTGTCGTGGCTGGCTGAGCTGGCGGGTGGTGGGGGGGGATCAGACCACAGAGAAAACACACCTGTTGGACGGGACAAAAAAACCAGAGAGGTGTAAAGCAACGACTCTCACCTGTGTGACCTGACAAGGGCTGTAAATCACGCGGTTCATCTGGGGCACGCCGCCGCCCCCCCCCTACCCCTCCTTCCGCCGTTTATAACGCCGGGTGTGCTGTCGCGCCGAGATTGGATGTAAAAACAGACACAAATAAATCAGTCTCCGGTACTTTGTTTGATTTTTGTGTTTTTGTGCCACAGAAAACGGATTGTTACCAAAGGCCCTTGAAAACGTCTCCTTTAAAGTGCACGACCTTGGTTCTTTCTGAGACTTTTTGTCACGTGACCGGCTTTCATAATACTTTGAGAGACTTGTAGTGTGCGTGGTTGTCTCAGAACCGCATTCGGCCAATTCGGTGTTAAATATCACAGTATAGATGTGTTGAATTGACATTGATCTTTCTGGCAGGGTTTCAAACTTTGAGAAAGTCAAACAGTAAATATCTCTGATATTCCTCCTTATACGTATGTCTATCAGGTATGTTTCATTGGTTATGACATGAGCCAAACCTTTATAAATAAAAGTGGAATGT